CACCCAGTGCACGAATTCATGCACACATGGGGTCCCTCGGCCTGGCTGGTGATAGAGGCCTAGCAAGGGGCCGGCGGCCAGGGTGAGGGACCATGGGAAGTTGGCCAACTGGCGGGGGGGGCGCGGGGGAGCGTTGGATGGAACCTTGTCTTTTGGAGGTGCAGTATCCAAATCTATGTACACATACATAAGTCTGTGGGACTGTATCTCTATCCCCAAGTACTTAGCTCTGCATGAGTCCATAGCATCTAAGTCTATGTGGACACATTTAGCCCTGAAAGTTTACTGCTTGCATATACTCATCTGTAAGGTAGGTCTTTGTATGTCTATGTATGTATGTGTACATAATATATGTATGTGTGTGTGTCTGAATGTGAGTCTATGTGTCTATGTGTACCTATACATTCTTGTCTGTAAGCCCCTTTATCTGTGTCTAGATATTTCTATATTCATATTGCATGCCTTGATGTCCATCCATCTGTTCACCCACCTCTATTTGTATGCGTATGTTTGTGTGACCATCTTCATGTGTATGGGGGCATGTGTGTGCGTCTACATAAATCTGTCTGCATGAGAATGAATTTCTTTGGATGACTCTCTTGGTGAATACATCTGTGTGTCCATGTGCAGATGTTTATGTTGTTGAGTGAATGTGAGGATTCTATATGAATGAGAATTTTGTATGCATGTATGTACATGTATGTCTCTGTTCCTGTGTTTGTTCATGCATACTCATCTATGTTTGCATGTGTACATATGGCTATAGCCACAAATGTCTGTGCAAGTGCGTGTCAGTGCAGGTGTGTTGGACTCTGCTATTGTGGGTGCACATATTTCTATGTCTGCATGCACAGGTCAATAGACATGCATGCTTGTGTGTGTCTGTCTGCCTCTTGTTCATGTATATGTTTGTATATCTCTATCTCTACCTGTACATCCATGTATAATGTCTGTAAGTATATACAACTGTATGTTTCTACATACATCTGCACAAACTTCTGTGTCCATCTCTTTGTGAGTCTATATGGGTGTGGGTCTGTGTACCTCTCCCAGTGCACATGTCTGTGTCTCTGTGAATTTACCTGCTTTTCTATGCATATGTGTAACTTTGTATGCTTCTCTTGTGCCTCTGAGGGAATCTATGTGTGAGTGCCAATGTTTGCCTGTATATATCTTCTTGTAGGTCTTTAGGCTTGTGCCTATCTCTGTAGATATATGCCTCTTCATACGAAAGCATCTTTGATAAATCTATATCTATCTATCTATCTATCTATCTATCTATCTATCTATCTATCTACCAACTATTTACCTACCTATCTATAATGCATATCTAGCTCTATATGAAAGCATATCTCTCTAAATGTATATAACACTGTCTGTATGGTACATACATATAGAGATATCTTTATGGATCCACCTCTGTTTTGTCTGTATGTGCATGTATATGCCTCCATGTACCAGTAAATTTATGTGTGCACACCTCTGTGCTTGTGTGTTTCCCTATGTACATCCACACACATAAATATTCTCATGTGTGCCCCATGTGCATTTCCATACACGTGCATGTGTGCACATGCACATGTGCTCATGGTGAGCATGAACACTTAGGTTTCATATGCAGGTATGAGCATGCTTATGTATGTGTGTTTTAATGATAACAATGCCTCTGTGTGCATATGCATGTACCCTGGGAGCATGAAAATGCCACTAAGTACATGTCTAAAACACATGTATCTACCTATGAATGAATCACTGTTTCTGTGTTTGTGTAAATGTGTCTATGTCTCTGCAAATCAGTAAACACACACACACACCTATTTCGGCATATGAAGGATTCTATGCATGTGTATGGGTATATATGCACACATACAAACACATATGTGCCTGTGTGGGTTTGTGTATACTTGTGTACATTTATGCATAAATATCTGGGGGTGTCTCAGAATGTGCCTCATGAGCCTCCAGAAGCATCTTTATGTTTTCGTATTTGTGTATGTGTGTGCACCTGTGTTTTTGCATCTTTGAGGTTATGAATCAATAAACAGATTGTCTGGATGGCATATATACATCTCAGTGTGCTTCTCTGGTCTGTACAATGTGGAGTGTATATTTATAATTATATGTTGCCCTGTGTCTATACACAGAACTGTGGGCATTTGTGTGTTATTCTATATATTCATATGTGTATCCATGTATACATGAAATCACGCTTGTTGGGACTCTGGATGTTACGTTTGTATTGTAACAACAAATATCCTTGGTTGTGGCTTTAAGAATGTATGGTCTGTATGATTATGACACACCTGTGGGTCTATGTCAGTATGAACATCTGTGACACTGCATGTCTATATATATTCTGTTGTGTATGTTCTTGTCTATGATGAATATCTGTGTGTGTAGGTGTGAGCACTTTCTTCTGAACAGACTTCTGGTCATTTACACACCTGTTTTTTCTACAATACAGCCAGCCAGAATGGGGTCAAGATTTTCTTCCTATTCTTGAAGTAGCCAAGAAAATAGACATGAAAAGACAGCCTCCTTTAAAAAATATTGATTATTGAAGATGGTAAGTATGGCCTAAGTCAGTGGTTCTCAACCTTCTGGCCGTTTAAATACAGTTCCTCATGTTGTGACCCAACCATAAAATTATTTTCGTTGCTACTTCATAACTGTAATGTTGCTACTGTTATGAATCGTAATGTAAATATCTGATATGCAGGATGGTCTTAGGCGACCCCTGTGAAAGGGTTATTCGACCGCCAAAGGGGTCGAGACCCACAGATTGAGAACCGCTGGCCTAATGACATAGGATTTTTATAATCTGAACACAAAAAGCAGGTGGCTGCTCAGATCTTCAAATCCCACTGCCATGGTTGGAAAGCCTGGCATATACCTATCTTCCTTCCCATCTCTGGCCCTAGGTAGGGCCCACATACTGTTTCCTTCCACCTTCTGCTTCCTCAAGCATGCCTATTACCAAAGGCTCCAAACTTACTTCTACCTTCTTTCCTAGGAGACAGA